AGAGAGAGAGAGAGAGAGAGAGAGAGAGAGAGAGAGAGAGAGAGAGAGAGAGAGAGAGAGAGAGAGGAACGATACAAGATTGTTGTGCGGTCCAAAGGAGAAAAGCGGCCATAGCCGCGGAGCTCGGACACAGGGTGTTGCATACTCATGATTACTTCAACAAGTATGGGCAGAACCAAAGATCAACCAATAAACCAATATAGGATGAGCATGTATGCAGCGGAAGTCTGATAAATGGACTGACTCACATAGACTGAACTCGTACAGATATCACTCAACACACAAGCAATCATGAGATGGCGAGGTCTGAGCCAATCATGGACGATGCTCAGGCCCCGTACAACCATACACAGATGAAAGGTGGGAGGAGAGACAAAGGAGGTGGGAGATGTAGGCAGCGCCAGATGTCACCGAGATAGAATCCAGTAGGTCACCGATATGGTAGTCTAAAATGTCATCGAACAAGATCAAAATGTCGTGGACAATAAGACACCAATGTCGGAGGTACAGAGTCCTAATGTAACTGGTGTCCAATCTGTGATGCTGCCGAGTATCAACCCCAACAATCTCCAAGTCTCGAATCCGGTAAGTATCACAGCCTCTTACCACCGAAGTCCAACACTGATCTCTGTCCAACTAGTATCAAGTCTCCAATCTGAAGAAGAAGAAGAAGTCTGAAGAAGAAGAAGAAGAAGGAGAGATGCCAGAGGAGGAGGAAGAGCTGAGGAGGAGGGTAGCCAGTGACTGTGGAGGGAGGAGAAAAGATCCTCGCCTCCGAGTACCTGGCTCGCTGCAACCGACTGCAGGTCGAAGTCCGCGATGGCCGCCGAGCTGCCGATAGGATGCTGCCTAGCTCCTCGCTCGCGGCTGCTGCTGCGATACCTCTGAGCTGCGCTAAGAACAGCGCAGCGCTAATGCTCCTCTGAACCGAAACGGACTGGCGCTCACTCAGCGGTCCAGTCGCTCGATAGTCCAAGTGAGACCGGCCGGTCTCTAAGTACCGGTAGGGCAAAGGCCGACCTCAGTGCTGCGAGCCCTGGCCGTGACCTGAACCGTCAAGATCGATGGTTCAGATCAGACCGGCAGGCGGCAGCCTCAAGAGCGCCGCCAGGCCCAAACGGTAATGTCGTTTGGGCCTGCCCGTCAGGTCTGGTCCGAAATGTGGCCTTTACGGCCTGCTGTACCCCAAGTCCAGGCCTTTAGGCCCTACTGTGTCCCCTTGGCCCTAAGTCGGGTCCGGTAGGACCCGTGTGGCGTCGAAGATGTAACACAGGGTTGCAACGAAGGAGAGAGAAAGGTGAAGCGAAGGAGAAGGGAGGAGAGACGAAGGAGGAGAAGTCACAGTTAGGGAGAAGGAAGGAGGGACGACAAAGATTAATGAAGCCATAGCCGAGGTGAAGTGAGAAAAAGGAGACAGGAGGAAGGAAGGAGAGGGAAGATAAAGAAGGTGGCAAGGAAGAAAGGAGGCCGGCAGCCATAGCCGAGTTAAGGGTTGTCCAAGGTGTTGACCAACGTTGACCCAGACTTTGACCGGAGAGTTGACCGGCAAGTCAACTGGCGTTGACCAAGGAGTTGACCGACGAGTTGACCAAGCGTTGACCAGCATTGACCGGGGCTGTTGACCACGAAATTGACCAAGCTGGAGTTGGTATAATCTCGCCAAGCCCTTAGCCTATTCCCTCGCCCTATGGATGTGCACTCACCCGTTGGTACTTGCTGAGTCTGTCTGTCTCTTCTTTCTGCATTGAGTCTCTTATGTCCAGGTGCTAGGAACTCTGTGTATGAAGGATAGAGCCTTGTTGACCAAACCCACACTGGCTGAATAGGGCTAAAGGCCGTGTCTGACGACTCGACTGACCCGGAGGACACGAACCCTCCCAAGGACCGGTACTGACCGGCGGGCTGCTCGGTGTGGCACGGTAGGCCCAAGATCCGAGTTGTGGGCTGCACAACGGGCTGTCTAAGTCTTGAGAGGACTTGCTGATCACGTCGTCCTAGGGTGCACAACAGGCTGTCTAAGTCTTGAGAGGACTTGCTGATCACGTCGTCCTGTTTGCGACGTTAAATAATTCCTGAGGAGTTACGGGGGATCTGCTTAAATACCTCCTGTAGTGACAGCCTTAAGTTTTAGGTCCAGCCTAGGGACCCTAGTTGACAGGGTCCTGAACCGGAGTGAAAACTGAAACTCAGTTGTGCACCTGTCACCATGGTTGACACGCGTGGTGGTACGAGCACCACCTAAGGAGCAGGAAGAGCAAGCCGCCGCCATACTGAAAGAGAGAAGAGAGAAGAAAGAGTTGTTAAAGCAGGCGAAGAAGCAAGCCTTGTTGGAGGAGAAGGCGGCAAAGAAGAAGAAGTTGGAAGAGGAGATGGAGAGATTAAAGAAAGAGGAGGAAGAAAAGCTGAAGGAAGTAGAAGCAGAAGCAGAAGAAGAAGAAGAAGAAGAAATTCCTTTGCAGAGGAATGTTAGGAGGACAGGGGAAGGAGAGTCAAGTGGCACGACAGAAGAGGAGAAGTTGGAGAAGATGGTGAGTGAGTGGGTAACAAATATATCCCTGGGAGAAGATGAAGAAACCATGATGTATTTCCCTAGGACGAGAGAGACGCGACAACTGCTGAGATCCAGGCAGTTCAGGATCCTTTGCAGCGGCAGGCCTTGGAGGAGGAAAAGAGGATGGAGTGGAAGTTGCGCCTTAGACGACAGAGAAGGAGACACATAGAGGTGGCGACCGAATTGGAGAAGGAGTTGGCCGCCACGAGGGAACAGCATGCACATTTCGCCGTGCAAGCGGATCTCAAGAACAAAGTGGAGATCATATTCAAGAGCCTAGAAGTGATGATTCAGGCCCAACAAGAGCAAATGAACTATTTAAGGGGCCACGATATAGCTTTGCAGTCCATGCACATAGGCTTTAGAGATTTGCGCATGACATGATGATGCGCATGGGCTCTGAAATGCAAGCCCGACTGACTAACATGCAAAGATTTTACAAAGGCGTGATTGAGGGAGTTAAGTTAGTCGCTCCCAAAGAGGAGGAAGCTCACCCATGTAGGGAACCGGTTAAGGTTACGTTTCCTTATTCCTAGAGTGGGAAGAAGGAAGAGAATTATGATAACTGGGAGGCGAACGTTAATTCTTACGTTCACCTCCAAAAGATCCTCCCTGAGGAGCAAGTCCTCATCGCCTTTCATGCCCTTAAGGACGAAGCATCTAGCTTCGCCCGATCGCTTGCTAGGGCCGCCAAGTCTGAAAATGACATGGTGGCATACTCCATCGTTACCCCCCTAAGCGAGTTCTTTAGGCTGCTCCACGAGCGGTTTGCAGATGTCACGAGGGGGATTAAAGCCTCCGATAAGCTACAGACTATTCACTCACGACACT